AAGCTCCTATAGAGTCAGGGGTGAGAAGAATGGATGGTAAGCCGGTTTGGACTGTACAGTATCCTCAGTTTTTAGACGGGTAAGTGCAATCACAAGAATGGCTCTGAGCATAAATAAAGATATAAAAAGAATTAAGAAACAAAACAAAATAAAAGACAAATATTATTTTATAGATTAAACTAAACTGAAAAAATAAATGTCACAAAACCCAGATTCAAATGCATCATGTTCAGCATGCAGACATTTATGGTAATGCCTGTGTCCAACTTCTTCTTGGCAAATGCATTAACTGAGGCGAGTAAGACAGACTGATGGTGTGAAGCCAAAGCATGCTGGAGGTCCTGTGGGTAGCACAGAATTAACTGGTCCAGCCCTATTGTCAGGAACAGCCTAATGAAAATAAAGTTTCTCAAATATATTCTGCCATTTTTTTTTCCAATTATGTTACAGGAGCCAAAGGTTTTCCATATGAAAAACATTTCCAGGCTCAGACTGAGTCCTTTAAGTGTTTTGGTGGAGAATATGATATTAAATTGCCCAAGTCTAATTTTTTAAGTAGCTGTTCATAATTGCAAATGAAAAAATATGCTAACATGTGACCTGGTCTTTTTCTCTCAAGGCTGGATCTGCCAACAGAAAAATCTTAATATTACCTACCAAGCCTAACATCAGCACAGCCACTTTTTGAGTGATGAGTCTCCTACAGGAACCAACAGCTGTATGTGCAAATCATGCATATAAATCAATTACCGGGGCCCTATGTACTTTAAATGCACCCATTAATTAAGCAATGTCAGACACAATGAACCGTGAAGTTCATTACATTTTTAGCATTCAAACCCAGGATTATTTGAAGAGTGCATGAGAGAGAGGGAGACGGGTTTACCTAATGATTAGCCCCATAGCTCAATGTCGGGCAGACGCCAGCGGAAATTTCAGGAAAGCTGTTGCAAGAGGAGACAGAACAGCAGTGAGCTGTCTCAGCAATCTACAAAACATGAAAGGGTTGATCAAAAGGAAGCCGGGAACAACAACAACAACAACTATGAGCTGTGCCCACTTTTTAAACTTTCAGCTCCAAAGAGCTTGATGCAACCGCTTAAACAACAATAGATCATCCAGTAGACGGTCAAGCTGCTGGATTGGAAAGCTGGATTGGAAAGAGACATACTTTACAGCCTCTTTTCCATTTTCTGAAGCTGTGCAAGCATCGCTCTGCACAAATGAAACACACGACATACAGCAGCAGTCACTTTAGAAAGTATTCATATACCTTAACTTTTGTTTTTAAAGAGTAAAACTGATATTTTTACTTACGGTGCACCCAAGAAACTATAATGATGCTAAAAATGATTCAAAATCTCTTAGTTTCCACACTTAGAAGCCCATTTGGTAACAAACACAGTCCTGCTGAGGTGATAGTGTAACGTATGAGCCAGATGATAATCACCAGATCTGGTCTCGGAAGTTCTGACCAAAATTTCTGACTGATCAAATATGCTGTCAGGTTTATTCACATGTGGTTTGGCAAACTACATGCAGACATATCAAGATAATTTATACACACACAGTAAATCATGCAATTGTGTTAAACTGAAGTACTTCATAGAAGCAGCAGAGTTGTCTTAATCGGGAAATTGAACAACACAAGGTTTCCTTTTAGGTTTCCTTATAGCTACGGAGACATCCAGGTGTCGTGTACCTGTAGCGTTTGTGAGTGCCTTGCGTGCATTTGTGTGTTTTTTGTGAACTGTGTTGCCAGGCTGTAGTTTGGTTCAAGTTGCTATGAGATGACAGCAGAAATGGTGGTAGTGGTGGTGGTGGTGGTGAGGGTGGGGGGGGAGCTCATAGAGAAGAATCTGGGCCCAGCTGCCTGGCATTAAGCAATGACCTCTGCATAATGAAAGATGGCAACAACATTTCCCACTCATTACAAGGTTCCACACTGTGACAAGATTTGCATATTCATATATTTTTCCCTTCACCACCCCACCTCCCCCCCCTTTCTTTTTTTTTTCTTTCCCCCCCACTGCAAATTATTTTTCCTGTGAGCAGGACATCTGCCTCCCCGACACTGCTCTGGAAGAGGAAAAATAAATAAATATGTGTGTGTAGAGAGGCACATGATCTATCCAGATGCCACAGAAATATGGCACGATGTTGACATCGTCACATACCCCAACCGTGTGGATTTTCCACAGCTTAAGCACCAGGGAATCCTTTTCGGGGTCAGCGGAGAAGAATACAGCCTGAGCATAAAAACCTGACAGAGGTCTGGAGTGTATATCTGTTTTGCATAATATTGTTCTTCCACAGTGGCACGAATGCTGCCATCGCACTGGTGTTGAGGTTTTACGGAGACCCTACTAAATTCATTTGACAAGAGGATCAGCGGACTTGCTGCTAAAGCTAGATCGCTATGCCTTGTATCTGATTTGGCACAATCTAAAGCAGAGGGATGCTTTCTTTAAAAATAACACATGAAATAATAGATAAAATAACGTAGCACACCCTTCTGACTCTAATGGTGCACACTCTATAAAAAAGTTTTGGATTTTAAGAAGTGTGTGCCAAGCAGTGCAGAGAAATACAAGATTTGGATTAACACTCGATCACTCTCTATGGTCTCAGACCTTCTTAAGGTCCCAAAGCAACAAGCTCTTCCACTCTTTACAAGACATAATACAATTTCAATATCAAACAAAGCGATGCCATAAATGGGGTTGTGCAAATAGAGAATCCAGGCGTGTATGCCAAAGACTAAAGGTAGAAAATTCCTCATCAAAAGAAATGCTCGGTTGCCTTAAAAACAGGTTTGAAAAGAAGAAAAAAAAGTAGGAATTTGAATCCCTTTTATTTAGTTGAGCAACTTTAATTCAAATGAATCAGGCTGAGCTGCACCCGCCAACCCTGCCCGAAGAGTTGCCGATCTCAACGTGCAGCATAACGATCACGGCAGCACTTCTGAATACAAACTGTTTTATGTGAATACCTCAAGCTGAGGGCTACATAAATATAGAATTAGACAAAGTGTTATTTTTTCTTTTTATGTTTTATTTTCCCCCCTCTGTTCTCACTCTCCAGCAACATCCCCAGGTTGGGTTGGCTGCAAGCAGATGCAGGCACTTACTTCAAAAAGTTGCTGCTCCCTTATGATAGCACTGCAAAAAGGTTTTCTTTTAACTTAAATCAGCAAATGTGTGTAGCAGAGACCTAGCGGCGTGTTTCTCTCCCCTCAGAAATAATTGCTCCCAGGGATCAATTTGAAATTTAAATCGCTGTGAAACGGTGTTTGTCATTAGCAATCAAATATTTGAACCGCTGAAATACCTTTGCCCCCTCCGTTTCTGCACCCTCTGCCCCTAGTTGGGAAAAGAAAATACTGCACGGGGCTTTGTTTTGATGATTGCGAACAGAAAAAGGTGATGGAGCTCCCAGAGAACATCACACGAAAGAGAAAGGAGGACAAAGAAGAGCCATTCATCAAATTTTCTCTATTTATATATGAAAAAAGAGAATAACGTGCCGAAGCAAACGAGAAAACAGGTGAAATATGTCCATCATTTAGCTGCGATGACCTCAGACCAAGGTCATGTCACATATATACTATAGAACAAAGTAAGACAGAGGACACTGAGTAGGTCCGTGAAATGACGCAGGCAGCAAGGTAAGAAAATTAGAGAAAGAGCTTCCTGTCATCTCTGAAAAACAGCGTCTCTGTTTAATGTTCATTTCAGGGCTGATTGAATTGGTGGGTGTAGCACTGTCACCGTTAATGGAGCGATCTCTAATTAGCTCTGTAGGTTCTGGCTAGTGTCAAAGGCAGACAGAAGGGCAAGGTGCAACACTACTCTGACACATCCTGCGAATGCTGGAGGTACACTGTGATAAACAAATAGCTGACATTTGCATAAATTACAGATAACCTATCAACAAGTATGCCGATGTCTTCTAACTTCATTTTCTGTATTAAAAATGGACTTATGAGCCTTAAAGTGCTTTCATTATTCTCCCTCTTTTATAGGGATGGAGAGGCCTCTTGTATGTGTGTGTGTGTCCATACGCACTGTGCACCGGGCCATAGGGGCAGGGCTGTGATGGTTTAAACATGGAGGTGAGGAGCAACTTCAAGGCAAAAGTAAGGTGTGTTCGCGATAATGATGGGCCGCAAACGGGCGCTATCGCCATTCAGCAAGACCCAGAAGTTGATCTATAATGGCTGCCCATAAAGGAGAATCATCATCAATGAAAATGACAGGTTATTAAGATCCGATTTTAGGGGGGTGGCAGGGGGTGCTATGGCTTTAGTATGATAGGTTAGCTATCTATAAAACCTTTAAAGCCTGGCCCTCAATGACAGCAGTCCCGATCCTCATCTCCCTCCACCCTGTGCAGAGACACATGCTAATAAGCTCACAACCTTTAATTAAGCAATATGTGTAAGTAGGCGGCCATTACAGTCTGATTTGTGAGCCACTTCATTACACTAAGCACCGGCTAGCAGACACATATTCAATACAAATCAAGCTGGCCTGAATATTATCCTGCTTAATGTGGGGCCAATATTGATATTTTATCACTCGTGTTCTGATTAGTGACTTTAAGAATCTTCATATTTCATTGTGTTGAGGCAGTCCCCAGCACTTAACAACCTGTATCCATTAGAAGTGGTGGTGAAGTATTTATTTGCTTTATTAGGTCACAGATGGCTTATCAGTTCACATACACCATTTATGTTTACTTGCACAGGGTCTCAAGAGTGAAAAGTACAGTGCATTTCTCACTGTGATTCTTTGAAGTACTACACAATACACAGAACAGGGGGATGTTTTTTGTAACTACTAAAAAACAAACAGGTGATGAGAGCTGTTGTCAGATTAATAAACGCTGATTTTAACACAAAGAGCAGGAAAAGTAACATTCAGAATGCATAACTTCTGCAGTGCATTGCTAAATGATCAATAAGAGGACTCAGTGTTTATTCTCTCTTCCATCTGGTGTCATTGATTGAGGTCTTGTAGTGCAAAACTGGAGTCACACCTGTTTCCTCCTATTGGCTCAACACGATGGGACCCTAAGGGCAATGAAACGACTGATAAAACTGTGTCAATAACAGGTAGGTTTGCACAAGCAAGAGAGTCAAACGTGTGTGAGGTGAGGTGACTGGGACGACTGAATGTGCTGTAGTTGTGTGCTCTGAGTGTGACGAGCTAACTGTGAAAAACATATTTTTGTTACAGTGATAGAAATAACAGAGAGAGACACTCACGCCAGAATCGTTTCTTTCGTTTCCGTAGCTGGAGAGCGTCGCCTCCTTTGTCCTCCCTCTGTTTGTCAGAGCTCTGAGCCGGGCAGGGCACCGTGCTGGATGCGTTGTCGAGGCCTTCTATGTCACCCATCACCTTCAGAAAAAGAAAAAAAAAAACTCACCCAAAGCATGCTTAAATCAGCCAGGTAGCATAAACGAGAAAAGGTGACAAAAAAGAAATGAACAGCACAACAATGATAAACCCGACTGTTTCAGGAGCCCCCGCGGCCTGTAAACGTATCAAGCGTCACAAAGTGCAGGTTGAACTTGGATGACAGTGACTGAGATTGGCAGAAGAACTGCGATTTTCCTCGAGGCCTGCGAATAGTGTTGTCATGCACAGTCTCTTCCTCTGTCCCCGTGCTTAGAGTGAAGTTGGAGGAGAAGCAGAAATGGAGACTTTATATGACACACTACCTCTCGTCCCAGAGGGGAAACGGCTCTCACAACTCTGGGTTGGCCTACTTATATACAGTGATAGGAAATATAACTTAAATCTCACTGGTATAAGCAATTACAGAATGATGAACCACACATTTGTCAAAAGAAAAGGCATATAAAAGAAGAGAATAATGTTTATCAGGTTGTGCTATACATCAAGTGGTCAGGCTGAAAATGCAGGCTGGCACAAAAGCACCCTATACATGAAACCAGTCTATATATTCAAAGTTTAGTTTTGCAAGTGTTGACAAAAAAATGTTTTCTTTTCTATTATTTATTTCATTTTAGCTCATTTTTTTTTTTTTTTCTAAAATTAGTATAAACTTGCTTGACAATTGCCTGTGGTGTACTTCAGGGAAGTCCTCCTATTAAACAGATATGACTGCCAGGGAGGCATTAATCTCCTCATGCAACATATAGTACATAGCCAAGGACATTCCCCTCCCTAATTCTTTTCCTCTGCCTCTCGTAGACACACGCGGCACATGAAACGACATCACACACACGCACGCACACAGAGAGCGCGCTCACTTCCTGTAAAAATCAAATTCATATTTCTGAGGGCTGCCGATGACCTCACGGCAAATGAAGCGCAGGTCTTCAGCTCCACAGCGGCAATCAAACATGCAGCAGAGTAATTACAAAAGAGGGGTAGGAGGGAGAATTGATGTGGTTTGTCAATTAATGTTGCTGCAAGGTGTTTTTTTAAAAGGTTAACTTCTTCATATTGTCTGCATGTTAAATTAGGTCAATATTGGTCCGGTGAAGAGTCGTCGTGTGCAGAAGGACAGTGGACTGAGCTGTGGGAAGGAAAACACACACACACACACATGCACACACACACACACACACACACAAACAGCTCTGTTAATGAGAGATGCAACTTTGCATTGCTCTGCATCATTATTATCATATTTGTTTGCTTTGTCACTGTACTTGTAAAACTCCATAAGTCCAGCTGGGAAGGTAAACTAATAAATGTTATGGAGTTGAAACCGTATGTGTCTAAACTGCATAGCTTTGGTTTCTACAAACAGTTAAGTGCATTCCCAGAACAGGGAGAGAGAGAGAGGGGAGGGGGAAAAAAAGCACAGCTGAAATTGCAGAAAAAAAAGTGTTTTTATTTATACAAGTCGCTGGAGATGCTCATCATCAGCGTTTTTTCCGAGCCATAAATAATTTGCAGAGAGAGGTAATATTCAAGCTGGCAGAGCCTTAGTTGTGCATCTTTAATGGAAGTTTTACAGAAGCTGAGCCAGTTCTTGCATATGCTGCTGCCTCCCATATGGAGGAAAGGAGACAAAAGGAGCACAGTTGGCTTGTCCTATCTTTTTATAAGTCCATCGACACTTAAATGTTAGCCCCGGAGAAAAAACGACACAGGGGGACATAAACCCACTGTGGTTTTAGGAGGGAAGATAATGACTTTGCCTGCATTAATTTCTTCATCAGCCATCTTGTTTCTCCAGACAGAGTGGTTATGAGTCCTTCTCTGAAGGTCCTAGGTTATATAGATGCATTTCCCTGCATAATTTTGGCCCTAACAGTTGTTGTCAGCAGTGCGTTTTGTGAGTCGGCAGCTGTGGAACATCTGTTTATAGGTAATGAGTGTTTGAAAAGCTACACCTCACTTTACCTTTAATGTCTTTTATTGGAGCACACTGATGGGAACGTAGCTTTAACTTTTTCTATTGTTGTGATTCAGCGATAAGATTCCTTCAACATGGTCCATATTACAGACACCTGCCTTGGGCAACAAACTGAACGAGAGCATATGATGGATCATTAATATTAACTTTCTTTAAACAGAATTCAATATGCAAGTCAATAAAGACTTGAGCATCAGTTAATTTTTACGACGCACCCACGATTTCAGCTTTCCTCCGTTTGGTCCTACGTGTCACCGAGGACGGAAACAGAGGAAAGGAAAGAACGGAGCTGTTTCAACAGTAGCTGAATAAACAACAGAAATAGGTTAGTTTCTCGTGACTCTCGCTCAGAAGTTCATTTTACAGCAAATCAAACAGTACACACCTAACTGTTTTGCTCCTTCCAAACGGTGTCTTACAGTGTCTATAGCTCAGGGCACTTCTTCTGGGACTTGCTTTTTAAAATGTGCATTTAGGCAAATCTTGAGTGTATATGTGTTGCGTTATGCAAAGCTACAGGCCCCTCGAGCTGTGGTCATGTTAGGCTAAGGGCGGAACAAGTCCTCCAGGGCACCGATGTCCAGGACGCTGCCTGAAAAAACAAAGGTTTTTAAAGGAAATGAGGCATCAGTCAATATTTCCACAATAAATGGAAACAGACTCCTTAAGTAGTAAGATTAGCTTTTAAGCTAACTGAGGCGGAGAATCGAGTACTGTCAGTACACAGTTTAATTAAGATAATTGTCACTGGTTGTGAAAATTTCACAAATAAAGAATCCATGCAACTGTAGTGTAACCACATCATCACATCTCAAAACATGTTTTTTACATAAAAAAACATGTTTTGAGATGTTTTATATATATATATATATATATATATATATATATATATATATATATATATATATATATAATTTGTGCTGTTCTCATCTCTCAGCAGCAGTCACCTTACATTTTAAAGCCATTTTGTATATAGGACCCAGCTGCAGTGTGTATATCACTGCCAGAATTACATAAAGCACTAATAAAATCAGCTCAAGTGTTCTTCCAAGTGCTGGGGATGCCCTTTGGAGATTCTTAGATCTTGCCCTATACATAAAACCAGTCTATATATCCAGGGGATTAGTTTTGCATATGTAAAGAGGGGATCTGTTCTGAAAAGCAAAAGGAAGCGACAAAGTACTCTATTGGCAACTCCGCACATCGGCACTATCATACCCACCACTGGCGGGTGAAAGAGGATGCCATCAGCATGTCTTGCTGCTGGGGGTCCTTTGCCTGTGAAGTTGCAAGGAACAGACAGCAATACCCACGGGACATTGTGTGTGTGTGTGTGTGTGTGTGTGTGTGTGTGTGTAAGAGAGAGAGAAAAGGGATCAACAGAAAGATTATGAACAGCATGTGTCTGTGTGTGCATGTGTGTGTGTCTGTGCATGAGTGCGAGCCTGTTTTCCTGTTTTTCTGTGACACCTATCTTTCACTTACGGTGGCTTCTCTGACACTTCCTGCACTGTTTAAAGAATAGCATGTTGCCAGGTTGGGAATGAATTCTGTTTCTCTGAGTGAGCTAAGGCTGTGTCTGCCAAGGTTATTAGTGTAGTAAATTTGTGTGTTTATGCGAAGGGAGAGCGCTGAAGGTTTTGTGTGAACACTATAACTTATTTTTTTCACAGACAGAAAGGATATGTGAGTCGGTGTGTGCGCGGTTTTGTTGTTTGAAAAATCCTCCCAGATGTCTCATCTGCTATGCACAGGTCTAGAGGCTACGCACACACAAACAGACAGACAGTGTGACACCAGTAATAGATATACCATGCCATGTGTTTATTCACATAAGCGCTCCATCATTCAAATTATGATTGAGAGCTATTAGCGCACAACAGAGCCTCAGAGCTAATTGTTAGTGCGTATGACACCCTCTATCCTCACTCTGTTGACATTCAAAATATTAATTTTGTTGGGACGATCCAGGTTGTGAGGGGAGTGACAGAATGATTGAGGAAAGGAAAACATTCTTGCCACAGCAGCAGTCGTTAGGAAGTCCTACTTTTAATTAGGCAACAAGCTATGAATCAGCCGGTTACTCTGGCCTGTCTCTCTTACAAGTGCTTAGAGGACAGCAATCAATATTTTCCAATGTCACCGTGAGTCGTGACTTAAACCGATGTCTGGGACTTTATACAGAGCAGATCTTTGCACCCCAAAAATTCTAAATGATTGTTACCCACACACACGGAGACAGAGGAAATTGTTTTGTCGGCTAAATTTCGGCTTGTAGTTACGCTCACATGTTGAACTCAGTCATGATTTGTTTCTTGAAGCAAATCCTGTCAGTTTCTGTTTGAAAAGAAGAAAGAATTTCAAATCTGCTTTAGCCCAAGGATAACAACAAAAAGAAAAGAATCATAGTTATTCACCCTTTCAGGCCACAGAGCTGTACTGTTGCCTCTCATTGTGCTGAAAGTAGAATAAAGAAATAGTTGCTGCATCCACTTCTGTCCTTTCCATTCTTACTCTATTCAGAGGGAATAAACCAAGTGATGCAAGGGCCAGTGAAACAATCACACCCTCTGTCTTCTTCTTGCTCTCTCTTGCCCTCTTCCTTTAATTTCAACGTCAGTAAGTATTAAAAGAAAGAGTGAGGGAATAAGATAAAACAAACTAAAATGGTCTCAAACTGAATAAATATACAGATAAGCTTTATTAATATGATCTACATTAACAGATTTCTCTTTTACTATGACGTAAATCCCAGCAACTCCACATCAAATCAAACACCCGTTGTCATGACGCCTTGTGAATAGGGGAGCAGCCAAAGGTAGCTTTTTGTTTATTTACTGCTGATCTGAATGTAGATGAAGCAAAAAGCTTCAATTTTCAGGGAATACACAACTCTGTTTTTTTTAAATGATACAATTGTCTCATGTTTTGTCATTTGTACACCATCTGAAATTCTATCGCATTAGACCTTTAATTTGAATTGAAGTAAATCTTTGAACAAACAGGACAGAGCAACAGAAGAGGGAGCCCTGTTTCAGGTTTTAAAGGCATATAAATTCAGATCCAGTATAGATCACTATACAGTTTCATTTTGGAGCAAAGCAGGAAGCAACGTCTTCCAACAACAGACTCTTTTTTCCTTCTTGTTTCACATTTGCATAAATTGGAGACATGCAAATAAATTAAGACTTCAGTGTCATCTCCATTGATATCTCACCTCTATGATGGCTCCATCTGACTGTCGAAGAAAGTGCCTGTATATTTGTTTAAGCCCGCTGAGGTGCAGTGTGTAGACTGCCACGTGGGTGCTGGTCTCACCCTCTGGCATGTGCGCACCATCCCTATGGGACTCATCGCTGGGCGCTGCAGAGTCTGACACGGGGTCCTCCGTTGTTAAGATATAGTCATACACGGCCACCTTTGAGAGGGAGATAAGAACATAAAGGCCAGCTAACAGCAGGAACACATGAGAAGATATAAAAACACAAAACAAATATGAACGCCGTTGTGTTAAACAGGAGCTAACAGAGTGCATGAGTACCACGTGGCATGTAAAGAGACCAGTTGTTTCTCTGTGTGTCCATATGCACATATTAGGGATTACACACCTGTAATGTACTGCCCTTCCCTATTAGGGTGAGGCATGGGGAGCAAGCGGCGCGTGTAACATGTTATGTAGGTCATGTAACTTGAAGTCATCCATGTGTGAAGATCATGGAAGCTCTCTTCCTCTCCGAGAGTGTCTGCTGGTAAAGTCTTGAACGTGTAATGGTCACAGATTGTATACGTCACTTCAACTGAAAGACCAGGTAGTAAAGCCACGAGCACCGCCCACCTAAATCTGGCTCACAGAGAGTCTTTAAATCAACTTTTTTCTTTCATATTCATAAACTGCGACTGTGACATTGCTGAATCAGTGACGCACTCTTTCTCTGCCTGTGTGTACGTGGCTGTACTTAAAGACATAATTTAAAGTCTAGCTCACAGCTACCGACCCAAAACAGTGAACATTACACGCACGTAAACTGAGCCACACACAGAGAGTCAAAAGAAGGAGGAAGTTTTTCAAGGTGACCCTCTAATTGGCGGCATAATTATGATTCGTCTAAAAATATGGGAAAAAAGGCAAACTCATTCAGAGGGCCGTGAGTGGCAGGGTCAAGCTGAAGGAGAAGTTTAATTTGGCGGTGTATCGATGTCACCTCAGACTTGGAAACGGTTAGCCAAACACAACTCTAGGCGCTTCACTGAGAAAACAGTGGGAGCTATTACCCCTCTTGTAATTAGAAGCCTAGTATAAACTGCAAAGCACACGACCCAAAGAGTGGAAAAAGACCTCAGAGTCGAAATGTCAACGGGTTATGAGTGCAGAAAATAAGACTAGCTAAAAACACTCAAAGAAGATGTGTGTGTGTATTGGGTGTGTATGCTAGGATGGATCTCTTCGATGCTAATTCAGATGCTCATTTGTGGAATCCCCTCAGCTGCCTTGCCTCCAGCCTGTCCTCGGCCCACACGAGAGGGAAACTGATTACCTGGATTTCTTTTGTGTTTAGCGCCCCTGCAAGGCAGCAATCAGTCTGTTTCGATAAGATGTTTACATCGATGTTGATATTCAGATTTTTATTGTTTTCATCTCTCTCTGAGTAAAAGCTACGTAGATCTCTTCCAATACCATGGTTCTCAGCGAGGTCAGGCTGCATTTTTAAGGTCATTCATTAGTCTTAAAAAACGGCTAAGAAAGCATCTTTTCCTCCTTTACTGGCCACAGGAAGTGTGCCTATGACTCAATTATGGCCCCTTTCCAGGATGTTTTAATCCAAGCTGTACAGTGGCGATAGAAACACCATGAATTCTGCCTCTGTGCTCTCAGTCACTTTGGTTAAACGCACCTGCTTGAATTCCCCCGGTATGGTGTGCTGCGTGTCTGTATTTTGGCTTGCATGAAAATGGATTTTTATTTATTTTTTTAAATGTTTGCCATGCCACCATCCTATGCTAATTAGCACGTGAAATCCAGTTGACAAGACGAGACAAAAGCTTGAAAAGGTGTTTGTGTGTTCGGTTTGGGTGATGCCATTTCATGCAATGCACCATGGCTCTCAAGAAGCATCATTGCTAAGACACAAAAAGGAAAGAGCATTAGAGGGCCTGTCTGCTCGACACTACTCTGTTCTGGTCTGTTGTGTTGTGTTATGGTGCTAGCCTGGCTTCTAGCCCTAGCTTGAGTGCTCCCTCCACTCCACCATTGTTCCATTTGATAGCACTAAGTGACTGATTTAGGTTCAATGCCTGCATGGAGCAGACAGGCCAGCTGTGGGTTAAGCAGATAGCATTCAAGTGAGCTAACCCAATTCAAACCCAATCAAGCCAGGATTTATCGTTGGGGTCTGTATTTAGAAATCTGATAGAGTCTGCATCAGTCCCTTGACTTGTATCAGGAGAGATGGGCCTTATTTCTTTTAGCGGAGGACTATAAACGGCAAACCATGTTTTCCAGCAGGGACATAAATTTCAGGATTTGTAGACATTACCGCAAATGCACATTGGGAATGGGAGGGAGGAGCAGGGGCACAGGAAGTGGGGATGGCACAGCTGCAGACGTGGCTCCATGGTTCGCAAATATAGTCTGTCTGTCTTTCTGGGAGAAGATGTGATTTCACACCTAGCGAATCATACCATACCACATATGAATGCAGAAGAAAAGCCATCAGTCTTTAAATACAAGCGCCTGTGGAAAGGTTCTCTTTAAAAAAAAAATCCAGTGTGACTTGTGATAAAATTTGACTGACCTGACAGTCATTTTTATTCAAGTGCGTGTGCAAATATAAAGTCTAGCAACAGATGGATTTGGATTACCTGTCACCGACAGCATGACGCTTTGTTGCTTTTTTAGTCTGAGGGCAAACAAAATAAAAAATAAACTGCGATCGGAGGCATCTATGGCTCAGAGATAAAAGTATAAATGCACTTCATTCTAAAAGGGTATTCTTTTGTGTTATATTTTAAGAGCGACCCATATTTATACCTAAAATAGGACTTGAACTTGCAAATAACAGCTAAAAAGAGGGCAGACGGAGAGACGCAGTTCCACTGGGTGACACATTTCTCTGGTAATGCGTGTCTGGGAAAGGTACAGTGTATTTTATTTGTTTGTCTTACATGGCCTTCCCCATCATACACATATACATGTGACATCTTGCTCCATTTTGTGGCATGACACATGTAAACACCATGTCTAGATTTGATTGTTATGAAAAAAAAAACCTGTCATGTCGCTCCTGACAATCAAAACAGTTCCCAAATGTAACCCTGTAACCTTGTAATGAACTGATCAAAACACTGTGTCAGAGCAGGGACTAATCACGGGGCCTCAAGAGCAAGTTAAAAATCTCCCACGAATGTGGAAATCCACTATTTTGCAAGTGAGTTAATTACATGTATTAGATATTAAAATGTTATTTTTAAAATGATGGGTTTACTATACTAAACTGCACAAACTTGTTTATACTTATACTGTATGATGTACTTGTGCAGCCAGAGTGTGTGTGTACGTTTGCAACTAAAGGGAGGAGGAAAGGAGAACTTTCAATGAGCACACAAGCTGAGCTGGGCTGGCTACTGTCCAGAACAGGAGCCTAAGGCATGGGCACAAACAGGCTTGTCAGTCCCCCTGATCCCTTAATGATTGATCCAAACTAGATAGCCATCATTACCATTCATGCACTCTCTCTTCTCCAGACCTTCCTACCTTCGCCTAATTTTACCTCCCATTTGCACGTTTCCATGGACTAATTAAACATTTCCCTCCTCTCTTGCTCTCTCTGTCTCCCTACCTCTTTCTGTCTCACTCTGTGTCCAGTGGTATGAAAAATAATGCAGCACATTTTTGGCACGTTATTATGTATGAAATGTGAGGGGCATAATGTATTCCAGCCGGTTGGAGTTCTCTTAGACTCGTCTTGCTTGCATCGCCTTGCTTTACAGCCAGTGTGAATGCTATACCTCCCATTTCTGCTTCCCTTCTTAAAAGCTGCTGACCTTGCCTCCGTCCCGCCCGTCACCAACTCACGCCTACTCCGCAAGGGCTGGGGTTTTCTCCACTGCCGTGATCCTTTTGGTTTGTAGTTCTGTCCCACTTGGCTTTAATTTACAGTGGGAAAATAATTAGAATCTCACTTTTGCAAAGAATGGAGTGAAAATGTAAACAATGCTTCCCTGCGGGTGGGTGCTTCATCACTTTGACAGGTGCATTTGAATTTGCCTGGGTGGCGGACAGGCTTGGTTATTTATGTGTCAGTCGCACATGGAAGCCCCGGCTGCGGCTGCAGTTGGGACTCAGACTAGGGACGAGATTGAAACTCAGTGGAGAGGGTGATACGGGGTTTGGATTTTGGGAGACTACAGAGGATGTTGCTGGTTCTGGACCCGGTGCTCAGAACGGTGCTGTGGCTCCTGGCATTTTTGCACATCTTGCCAACCAAAGCAGTTACAGCACCGGTGCCCAACCTAGCACCGCTTCCATGAACTGTCACCACAAAAAGACTGCTGCCCAGCAATTCTGTTTGCATCCAACAAGTTTGCTTGGTCCAAATTCAGATCCACAGTCGTCAGTGGTTTGGGGATTACTGCAAGAAATTAATCAAAGAGTTGCAGATTCAGTCTGCAGATTCCACCCACCATGATTTTTTTTTACCATGTAAATTACCTCAAAAATATGCTGTCTAATATTTGTAATATTTGATTCTAAACCTGCTCGATCCATGCTGCTTCTTATAAGGTAGAAAGGCAGCAACAGCGCTGGCACCAAATCAGTGGGAAAGAAGTGTAGAAGAGAGGAGAGAAATATGGGAGTGAATCTGGATATATGGAGGAGATTTAAGGCCATAGTGGTAAGAGAACCAGTAATGGGGAGAGTAGTAGGACCTATGTTGGATTAAAGAGACTGATGTATGTCTGGAACTGTGTGTATGGATTACTGCTTTAATTTGCCCTATAGAGGTTTAGAAATAAAAAATAGAAGTCTGTGTACAGACTTGGTTTTGGGGTATCCTTAGCAAGTTACTTGGAGATTCTTACATAAGGAATATTTTGAGCACAAAGAAAGCTTTATGGAGTCACCTGGTTTTTAGCAGTCTTTCTGTAAATACATTTTACGCTGGGAACCAGATCAGAGTCATGTTGGCTGGAAATGCTGAACTGTGATATGATCCAAAAGGAAACATTTTAAGCGTTTCAGCAGATCCAGTGAAGCTTCATCTGGATCACTGCATTGCATTAAGTTTATGAAGTAGACTTTGTGTCATAGATAGATAGATCGATTATTTAGTGGTATTGAACATAGGTACTTACATTAAAGCGATATTTTGTTTTCACATTTTCACTGTACATTGAATTAGTGCTCATTGGTATTACCAT